GAAACTGGTACCACGTGTGTTTGGACTTCTAGTTCTTCAGATTCACGTCGGTATCGCTATCGCCACAAAAAGTATACCAATTTTTAAGGATCTACCTTGTATTTAGTGGGCCCGCTATCTTAATTTGTTTTTCAGTTTAAATTTTGAACAACAAAATTTCTTTTTAAAAGAAATGTAAATAATAATATTTTAGATAATTTTTTTAAATGAATAATTTTGGTATAAACTAAGATATATCTCTAGTGAGTGGAGAACATTATTGTCGAAGTGAGTTTTTTTATTTATTTATTCTTAATAAAATCACACAGCAAGGGGATTGAACTAACTCTTATTAACATACTTAAAAAATCCGCCCTATCTGTGCTGAATCCTATTAGTATTTTCAATGAATATTTGGAGTTTCCAACTTGATCCCCCACATGTTTTTCAATGAAATAGTATGGGAGTTTCTGTTTATTTATTTATATAAGAATTATTTTCGACGGCTATATCTTAAAAGGTATAAACAATAAAGGTTGACTTCCCAGTGATCATGGGAGTTTCTATTTATTTATTCGAGTCCTGTGTAACACAACATGGGCATAGCAGTACACGTTGATATGATATCTCTCCATTCCCAAAAAATAAATGGTAGGAAAAAAACTGAACTGGTGGCAGTTGCCTAGTTCCTGTTTGTGTGATTCTATAGATATTATTCCTTTCAGTCTTGCTACATGTAGCACCGTGTTGGAATAATCTTCTTGGTGGGCTTATCAGATTGGTGTCTTGTGTGCAGTATTCCCTTGCCTAAATGGGTTGTAGAGGAGATTGATAATGACCCCGATCTTGCATATACCGATCAATGGGGAAGAAGAAACTATGAATATGTATCACTTGGATGTGATACTTTGCCCGTGCTCAAGGGCCGAACCCCAGTTCAATGTTATGCTGATTTTATGCGTGCTTTCAGAGACAATTTCAAGCACCTCCTTGGTGATACTATTGTGGTACTTATCTGCCACCCTTTTGTTTACAATTTTTCCTTGGGGCTTTCTATTTTATGTATAAAAAACTGTGATTGTTATGTTGCATAACTTCTTATCTGAACTTCTCTTACTGGCATTTTTCAGGAAATCCAAGTTGGGATGGGACCAGCTGGTGAGCTGCGTTACCCTTCATACCCAGAGCAAAATGGGACATGGAAATTCCCAGGAATTGGTGCTTTCCAATGCTATGACAAGGTACATTTGTGTTTTTTTCCCCCTCCATTTAGTAAACTTATCAAAACAGAGTCATATAATATTGTCTCTTTGCTTTGTATTTCTAATGTTTAGTTATCCAACTGTGCAGTACATGTTGAGTAGCTTAAAAGCTGCCGCTGAAGCTCAGGGCAAGCCAGAATGGGGAAGCACAGGCCCTACTGATGCTGGCCACTATAACAACTGGCCAGAAGACACTCAATTTTTCCGCAAAGAAGGTGGAGGCTGGGATGGTCCATATGGTGAGTTTTTCCTCACCTGGTACTCCCAGATGCTGTTGGACCATGGTGAGAGGATTCTCACATCAGCTAAGTCAATCTTTGATGACACTGGTGTCAATATCTCAGTAAAGATTGCTGGTATTCACTGGCACTACGGTTCAAGGTCTCATGCCCCAGAACTCACAGCAGGGTACTACAACACCCGATTCCGTGATGGCTACCTCCCCATTGCTCAAATGTTGGCGCGACATGGTGCCATTTTCAACTTCACATGCATCGAGATGCGCGATCACGAGCAGCCACAAGATGCTCTTTGTGCACCTGAGAAGCTCGTGAAGCAAGTGGCTATGGCAACGCAGAAGGCACAGGTCTCGCTCGCCGGAGAAAATGCGCTGCCACGTTATGATGAATATGCACACGAGCAAATCATAAGGGCATCTCAGTTGGATGTTGATGATGACTCAGGTGACAGGGGGATGTGTGCATTCACATACCTGAGGATGAACCCACATTTGTTTGAACCAGATAACTGGAGGAAGTTTGTGGCATTTGTGAAGAAGATGAAGGAAGGGAAAAGTGCCCACAAGTGTCGGGAAGAGGTGGAGAGGGAAGCAGAGCATTTTGTGCATGTTACCCAGCCTCTCGTGCAGGAGGCTGCAGTGCTCTTGCACTGAGAATTGTTGGACATCCTTTTGTTGATAATAGTGCTTAGGAAAGAGTCATAAGTGGGTTGTTGAAAGTTTTAGTGAACCAGCAACCCAGGTTTGTGGCTAAGATGTAAAATTTTGCATTATATTGTTGTTTTCTATTGTATGCCCCTAAAGCTTCTACTTGTTACCCTTCGTATTGGGTACCTGATTATAAAGACTTCGGGTAATATTATCTTAAAATTATTCTAGTTGTACAAAGTAGTTACATATTTCTGTATTATTATATCGAGCTGCTTATAAAAATGTCATTCCTGCTGCACCTACAGGGGCGGAACTATGAAGGGACAGGGGGGAGCCGTGGCTCCCCCAAAACTTTTATATATTTATTTATTTTTTATATATATTTATATATT